GCGTTACTCACGTCGTCAGCACGCCGCGTTACTCACGTCGTCAGCACGATGGCGACGGCGTCGTTCACGTCATCGTGCGCACGCCGCGTTACTCACGTCGTCAGCACGCCGCGTTACTCACGTCGTCAGCACGATGGCGACGGCGTCGTTCAGCACGCTCTCGCCAAACACGAGCATGTAGAGCACGGGTTCGACGTCGATCGCCTGGAAGATCGCCAAGGTCGCGACGGGGTCGACTGCCGAGATGAGCGAGCCGAACGCGAAGCTCTCGACCGCACTGAACGTGTAGACGACCTCTGCCTGAAGCGAGAGGTCGCGCGCAGATTGTATAGCGCGCGTACACCGATAGATATCGACATTATACATGATATATATTGATATATACATATAATATATATATATATATATATATTGACATAGATATTGATTTATATATGGCAGTATCACGTTTACAGCAATTGGCCATGGGTAGCCCCTGACCTCTGCCTGAAGACAGGTCACGCGTGGAGATTGTAGCGCATGTACCGATAGGTATTGACATTGATTTATATATATATGGCAGTATATCGCAGTAATTAGCCATGGGTAATCCAGCTACCTTACTGGAGTGATTGACAGATAAGTCTGTTATCGAATAAGAATGAAAATAAAAAATCGGTAAAATTTCGCATAACAGCTTGAGTGTATCCGCATAATGAATAAACTATAAATTTAAACCATATACCTGTCCTAGAAAGTAAAGTCCGCCTCCTATTATAAACGCTGACACTGTTGTTCCTAGCACAGCAAATGTAAGAATAGAGCCTATATTCTGAAAGAAATTACCCTGCAAAGTATATAGTTAATATTCAATTAGTGATAACATGAACATACGCATGCTAATACCATAAACATATGAGCACGCATATGGTAATAATTAACACATGCAATCACTCATGACAACAATTCTATCAGTCCTACCTTACTTGCCTAAACAATTAATTGGTTTAATTTGTCCAGTATAAATTTTGGCACCTTAAAATATTGCAATCGTGTCACTGCATGAAGGAGCTGACATTCTAACATATATATCACAGTTCATTATACGTAAACAGAAATTACTCAGATACTCTTCGCAGTTTATTTATTTAATATTATCAAGATTACTATATAAATATCTGAAAGATCGCAAATAAACACTTCACCGTCAAAAATTAGATGACCACAATTTTGGCAAGTGGAAAAATTGAAAAATGAAAATTCACCTTGTGCAAGTTGTATCCCGACTCAAATATGATGGGAGGCAGCATTAGCAAGAAGAACAGTGTAGGGGGAAAGGCTTCTTCTTTCTGCAAGCAAAAAGCTTAGGATTACTAGTACCGGTAGACTTTAACTGGATTACGAACATCCAGACTACCTAGAAATGCGGCCTACGGACAACAATCAGTAACTACAACCCCACGCTTTTTAAACAGACAGAGTTCTGAAATTCGATCAATGAATTTACAAACGAATTTTAAAACTAGTTAGATTGAAAGGGCCTGCACCAGATTGTTATAGCAATGATAAGGATTATAATATAAGTAATATAATAGATAGTAATATAAGAATTATAACTTAACTTAATGTATATATATGGCATTTCAGACTCACCAGATCATAACCAACTAGTGCCACCTACCTGCCAATTTGCCAAACCATGGTTTGATAGAAGTTTCATTGTGAGACCTATAAGTGCACCTGCAATGTACACATAATAGACACGATAAATTAAGCAACTGATTTTCAATCATCATTTTCATATTAAACTGCCTCAAGAAACCATTATATTAGTGTCTAATTATATAATTAAGTATATATTTATTATATGCAGTAACGTAAAGCTCAAAAATGATATAAGTCGCTTCTACATGTTCTACTGGCCGATTATTTTAAATTCCATACAATTTAATGATTTCACTGAACAGATTATATTTCACACTATTATTATATATTGTCTGCGATTCAATTAGGTATGTATGCTCATACCCACGAAGCCATTCAAGCCATGAACATAGGTACCTACCTAGGAAAACAATTGCAACACTCTCTGGGATGAAGTTGACTTTTGCCTTGAGTAAAAGATGTGTTACTAAGATGCATAGAGCTGTAAAAAAACAATTCACGATTATATTAGCACAAGACATTTTAGTGCATTTATTTTATTCCTTCTCACAATGAACTTGTTTTTGTGGATGCTGTAACATATATATATATATATA